AGTAAAAATTAAACATAAATAATATTCTTTCAATTTAAAGTTTAGTAGTCATAATATTATATATGATGCTAAAAATAAAGTGGAAGTGAAGCACATTTTTTTTACATAAATTATAGAGTAATTTTATAAATAAAGTTGAAATGAAAATGCTTTTTAATTAAAAAAAAACCATTGTAAATCATTAGTAATTAAGGTACATATATTATTGATATTTAGGGGTGTTATTCGGTTGGTTTTTTTGGTTTTTAGTTTATACGGTTTGGTTTTATTGGTTTTTTTACATCTTAAAACTAACCATAACAAAACCAAATAACGTTCGATTTAATCGGTTTTGGTTAATTCGGTTTAATTTACCGATTAAGCCAAATAAAATTTTACATGTAAAAACAAATATAACACTAAAAGAAAAAAAATACCTTACTGAAGTTTTACCAAATGAATAAAAAGCACTAATACACAATATATTATATTTAGGTCTGTTTGATAGTTTATGTCTGGGAAAGTGTTGTCTGGTAAAGTGCTGTCGGGGAAGGAAATAATGTTGTTTGATTGTACATCTGATTGACTGTGTTGAATGATAGAAAAATGATCCGATTTATATCTGATAGTGGCGGGATGGATGAGATTTTTTAAAATAAATTAGGATGGTGGTGGTGTTGTCCAAAAAAAAAAAAAGAACTAATCCAATAAAATGAATTAAAAAAATTAACTAAAAGAAGTTAATAATCTAATAAAGTAATATTTATTAATATATATATATATAAATATTATATAATGTAATAATATTTATGAATATATAATAATCCAATAAAAAGAATTAATCCATAAAAAAGAAATTATAAAAAAATAATTATTTAAAAGAAATTAATAATCCAATAAAATAATATTTATGAATGCATAAATATTATATATCAAATAATATTTCTTAATATAAAATAATACATTAAAAAAGTAATAATTCAATAAAAAATCAATTTAAAAAAAGTTATTTAAATTAATAATCCAAGAAAGAAAGAAAGAGGCGGGGTTTGGGGCATAATTGTCTTTCCAGCCCATTCAACCAGAAAGATTTGATTTTGAGGCTTTCTGGGAAAGACATATCTTACCGGGAAAGACCCCTTTTTTTGTGCAAATCAAACAGTCTTTTCGGTCCATTCAGTCAGAAAGATCCGTTTGAACCTGGAAACATGCGTATCAAACGGGGTCTTAGTCTTTTATGATATGTTTTCTTAAGGTATCGATGTAGCTACACAAGTTATAGATGCAATAATATAGCTTTATACATATATGAAGAGGAAAGAAATAAACGAAGGTTAAATGATATTTGGCTATTTAGTTGTTGCTCTTTAATACGATATGTAAACAATTATAAATTCATAATGGTTAAATAACTAAATAATGAGTTATGAAAATATTTTTAGTAACCAGCTATCAATTTAAATATAAAATGTTAATTTATATATAAAATATAAAATATATAACAATTAAATAGTTTATTCGGTTTAACCAAAGTCATGGAAATTTAACCAAAAACCAAATCAAATAAGGCATCCTTATTCGGTTAACCAAACCGAATTAACCGAATAACCAAATAACCCGAACCAAATAAACCAAACATCATTTGATTTGGTTCAGTTATTCAGTTTTGGTTTTTATCACACCTCTATTGATAATGAGGTTTTTAAAATAAGACTAGACTAATTGAGTTCAACTGTTTTGAACCGAAATGGGTCAGGTCTCCATTTGAAAAACCATTGGTTTATAATCAGATTAAAATGAGTGAGTTCATTTGAAAACATAGTTAGTCAAACACTCAAAACCAACATTGTTGAACATTGAAAACCAGATTTTATAAAACACAATATTTATAAATAAATAAATAAAACCTTATTTGAAATTTCATTTTTAAATCGAATGAGTATTTAATGCAAGTGTTTGGCCTAAATTTATAACTAATAGACCAAAGCCTAAATGTAATCTTAGAAGGTCTACCTTATATCGTTTTTAATACAAGTAACTCTATGACTCTCAACAACTTGTTGTTGCTAGGTGATGTGAGTTGAGCCATAAATTAAATAGGTTTTTTTTGAAAACAACATTTTCAATCTAAAAAAAATACCCCTTAGTCATCAAAATCTAATAAATAACTATCATTTTTATATAATTTTTTATTCTTTTTTATTATTTTATTTATAAATTACTATATATTTTATTATTTTTTTATTAAATAAATTAATTTAAATGATTTAAATTTATCTTAGCATTTACATTTAAATTTTATTATGTAGATTATATTTATAATTATATCAATTTCTTCTTTTGCTTCTTCTTTTTTGATTTTTTAAAATATTTTCACAACTATTTTTTTTATTGCTAGTAGTTTGATATTTAAAAAAAATTGAGTTACATAGACTAAATTAAAACAAAATTTTTGATATATCGGATTATTGAAATCCGTAAATGATTATCAAAATCTGATTATGAAAACCTGTAAATGGATATGACGTACTCATTTCAATTCGGTTATGTTTCATGTTTTTTTCTTCAAACTAGGAAATAAAACCCATTTTTAATCGACTAAATTTCTAAATTTTGTTTTTAATATGAATTTCTGTTATATACCAAGATATCTATGTGATTTAGTTATTAACTTGACAAAAAAAACCTCCATGGCCAACTCGAAATATCTCAAAATGATACTGAACATGCCTCGATCATCTATCACTCTATATAAATTTCTCTAGTTTAATAAATAATTTAGTAAATTTATAAAATTAAAGATATATATATATATATATATATATATATATATATATATATATATATATATATATATATATATATATATATATATATATATATATATATATATATATAAATATATAAATAAATAAGAAATTTTTATTTGGTTTTTTTTGGATTATTCGTTTTTTATTTTATAAATCAAAACAAATCCAAAAATAATAATTCGGTTTGTTTAAAAGTAATCCAGAAATCCGAATATCTAAACTAAATAATCCAATCAAAATAGTTCACTTCAGTTTTAACCAAATAATGAATACCTGATTATAGTGTCTAAAAGAACTAAAGGAAAAAAAAAAAAAAAAAAAAGCCACTAAGTTGTAATTTTACCCATATCATATTAAGGGGGTGTTTGTCAAAAAACTTATTGCTTATTAGCTTAAAAGTAATCCAAAAATTCGAATATCTAAACTAAATAATCCAATCAAAATAGTTCACTTCAGTTTTAACCAAATAATGAATACCTGATTATAGTGTCTAAAAGAACTAAAGGAAAAAGACAAAAAAAAAAAAAAAAAGCTGCTAAGTTGTAATTTTGCCCATATCATATAAGGGGGTGTTTGTCAAAAAACTTATTGCTTATTAGCTTAAAAGTAATAAAAAAATCCGAATATCTAAACTAAATAATCCAATCAAAATAGTTCAATTAAACAATTTGGTTTTAACCAAATAATGAACACCTGTCTAAAAAACATAAAGAAAAGAAGACTTATTAGATCGTTACTGCACAGGTGTTGTGAGGGATTGACTGGAATTATGGGAAGGTCAAGGTACGTAATATTCTTTGATGTTTTTAAATTTGTTGCTCTTGTTAAATTCTTTTAGAAACAATGTTAAATTCGTTCAAAACACATGTCATGTAAAAATGTTTATTTAGTGTTATGGAAAGAGCTTACCAAATGATTTAAAAATGCTTAAATGAGATGTGTTTTGCTGCTTATAATCACAGTTTAGTTGTTTTGCTGATATATAAAGTGAATAAGTGATGCATCTGTCTGTTTTAGAGCATCAATCAACAATCAAATGAGAATTTTTATCATAAATATTTACTAATACGGATATGCATCTATAATGATTAACATTGGTACATACAGTGAAGTAGATTGATGAGTAGTTTCTGTAATATGCATCTGTAGTCAATAAAAGCAGAAGTTTTATTATTATTATTATTATTATTATTATTATTATTATTATTATTATTATTATTATTATTATTATTATTATTATAGTGAATGGTGACTGTTTTTTTACTGCATGAACCGTTTAAATGAGTGTAAATGACTATTTTACCCTTATCATTTCAATTTCCGATTCTGTTACAGGGTTGTGAGAATGAGGGTGCTGAAGCTGAGAAAGGTTCTTGCTCTTCAAATGAACTGAAAAGTGAGTGCCTTTTGCACATAACATGGGCTCTTGTTATATAGCCATGCTTGAAGGTGAAAATAAAAATTAAAAAATGGTTTAGTTTTATTAAATCTTTTTGACTTGGGAAACAAACAGTTTAATCAACTCTTACTTAACTATAGTAATTTCTGCACAAAATGGAAGAAATAACAATTTAGTTTGCTATTTATTGATTTATTATTATTATTTTTTTTTGTATTTAGGGTTTTCTTACCATATTTGTAAGTGGAAGTAAGTTGCTATTTTGAAATACTTTCTCTTGTGCCCTTGAAGGGAAAACATATGTTCAACTTGTATGAAAGTGAACTGAAAGGTTATTTTTTTAACAAGATTTTGTCTTGGATACCTTCATGTGTATTATGAGGCATGGCCATACCTTCATACAATGTTATAATCTGTTTTATAGGTGAAGAAGATGTAACCGAGTTGATTAAATTGTCACGTGTGCTGCATATGGATCCTATAAAGGTCTTATGCAAAAGTAACATTTTTTTTATATGTATTAACATTTTATTATATTTTTGACTTATAAAACTTTAAATATGTCACTCTAGCTCTCTAAATTTATATTTTCAAGATTTGATAGTCTAGCTAGGCTTTATTTCACATGAGGTATTATCTAGATAAATGTTTGAGAAATGGAAAGAAAAGCAAATGAGGGAAAATAGTGAAAAGTTAGGACTTAACCGAAAAGTCTGGTTCAACTCAAACAAACAATATACCATGACTACAGAAGACAAAAGGAGTTAAATAAGAACGGATCAATCTGGAAGATCATTGGGGGTATATGATTATCAATCAGCTGGCTGAATTTCTGGATTCACGGATCCAGAAATTTCTTCATGGGCGACCTGTTCAGGTGGAACAATGGGATGTGTCGTAGTGGGCCTCCTTAAAGCTTCAAGCTCAAGTTCAACAGACCTCATTGTCGGCCTGTTAACACCAGATATTTCCAAGCACCTGTTGGCAAGCTGTGCTGCAGCATTTAAATGTTGAAGGTCAATACCCGCTTCATTAAGTAAGCGTGGTTCCACCATTTGTAGGAGGTTTCCTTCACCCATGCACTTGACAAAATACTTTGACAAGTACCTCTCTTGGTAGACTCTCTCTACAAGAAGGGGTTTTTTACCGGTGATTAGTTCTGCAAGAACCACCCCAAAGCTGTATACGTCACTCTTTTCGTTTAAATTGTCTGTGTCTTGGTACTCGGGATCCAAGTACCCAAGTGTGCCCTGGACAACAGTGTTGACGTTTTCTTCTTTTTTAGAAAACAACTTGGAAATACCAAAGTCCGAAAATTTCGCTCTGAACTCATCGTCTAATAATATATTTGAGGACTTGACATCTCTGTGTATGACGGGGGTGGTGGCATGAGAATGAAGGTACGCAAGTGCAGATGCAGCTTCCGCAGCGACCCTCAACCGATTCTCCCATGATAACCAACTCGTTCCACCCTCTTCATTATGAATGTGATGGAAAAGTGTGTTATTGGGAATGAACTCATACACTAATACCGGTACTTCCTCTTCAAAACAACAACCCAATAGTTTGACGACATTTCCATGTATGATTTGTGTTATTACCAATATCTCGTTTATGAACTGTTCCTTTTCGGTCTCACCCACTGAAAGGGACTTCTTAACTGCAACAACGCGTTTATCCGGCATAATTCCTTTATAAACAATGCCAAAACCTCCCCTCCCTACAATTCGCTCGTTTGAATAGTTATCTGTGGCTTTTCGAAGCTGTTCCATGCTATATACAGTCACGGTGTAAGCAGCCTCTTGCGAATTCAGTTTTTGTTTGAGCAACACACCACCGTTTTGCTCAAAATACTTCTCTCGTAGCTTCATAAGTTTCCTCTTCTTGATGCTAAAGAATATCCCAGTGATCCCAGCTAATGTCAACATAACCCCAACCAAAACTACATGGAGAAATATAAGGAAAATGATCAGTTAACCAGATGAATACTAATTAAACATGGGAACATCATTTGCAATAAATCCACCTTAATTTCCAACAATTACATATATCACGAAATAATTACAACTTATCTTGCAAAAATTGGTTCTTAATCCATGAAATGTATTTTTTTTTTATTGAAAATGATATTTTATAATAATAATAATAATAATAATAATAATAATAATAATAATAATAATAATAATTCATTTTGTGAAATAAAAAAAGAATATAAGTATATTTTGGATTAAAAACAAAAGTAGGGACAATAAATTTTTGGTTAATCGTGTTTGCCTTTTTGAGGTTAAACACACATTACCATTTTACACATTTAAATGTAAATGAGTATCATAAATTTTTACACATAAAAATAGTCAAGGATGGGTTCAAATGCATATTTTACATGGAAAAAGTAGTCTTGGATAGAATAGAACATAGAACTTATATAGGCTTGTCTCATTTTCAACCTAACTCAAATCAAATATTTATAAAATAATAGTTTTTATACACATTAGCTACCAACGAATTTGTCCAAAATTAAACCCAATATTAGCAACCCAACAAATTTTTACTTTTATATTTAAAAAAACGTTATATAATGATATTTGGTGATCTATCTTCTTATAGTCTAATTATATCGGGCATCTTGACCAACCAATTTTTCTGAACCTAATCTTCTATACATTTGAAACAAAATGAATGGCCGATTTCGCAAAATTTTTATATATTTTGGGAAACATGTACATTGGAAAAGCAAAATTCATGAAAAAATGTTAACCGGATGAAAAAAAAAATCATAAAATATATTAGTTTTAGCCACTTGAAAAAGTAATTTCGAAAAGATAATATATTTTGACAAAATAAATTATCAACTTTGATGCATTGGTTAAAAGGATTGGTGACCGGACAAATTTTGACTTGCAATGCTTAATTTATTGTACCTAATTCTATGAAGTTAGATTTAAGTATTTAATGCATCATTAATAATAATACTTGTGTGAAGTATACCGATAGAGAACACCACCACTGGAAATTTTGATTTTTTAGCAACCGGTCGGCAGCCGTATTTTTCTTTTGCTTCACCTTCGTATCCTTGCAAACATGTACAACTGTAATTCCCGGGACTATTAGAGCATCTTCCATAACAAGGATAGGTGCTATTATCCTCGCACTCGTTGATGTCTAGCAAACAAAGTTATTCAAGTATTAAAACAAAGAGTACAAAACATGGCATACGCATGGTTTGCTAATACTACAAATTGAATGCACATGCCTAAATACACATGCCTAGTCATATATATATATATATATATATATATATATATATATATATATATATATATATATATATATATATATATATATATATAGAGAGAGAGAGAGAGAGAGAGAGAGAGAGAGAGATAGGTTCAAATGTTTTTGACAACTATTGTGTGCCCATGTGCACCAATAGGAATTTAGGAATAATTAAATAATAAAAAATGGTAATAAGGGTAATTATGTAACTTTAGCATGCTAATTAAAATAAAATCCCTTTATTCATGGAAATTGCCATAAAAATCTGTTTGACCAACTATTTAACCCTAGCCTTCTATATCATACGTAATATGCCTCCTCCAATTTTCTTATGGACGAATGAAGATCGTCTGATCAAAAGAGGTAGTCAAACCTCTTGCTGGAAATCTGTTTCCCCATTCCATTGATTAAGAAGATGTTATTCTCGGTGGCTCCATCTCCAATCGAAGCTAGCTTCAACATCAAGGCAATTTTGGAGTCACAAGAAGTCAGTGTATGTTTCTGCATCATTGTTACAGTTCCTTCGATGATCGGTTCTTTAGAGCTTTTCCAAATTGAGCAAACTTCGTATGCCCTTATTTATCCGGTAACAACTCTTCAATTCTCATTTGTTATGGATCGTTAACTTGTGATTCAAATTATCTATTTCTATTGTTCGCTGAATTGGATGGTTAAGTAAGTGAAAACCTAACGTGTTCAAGAAGAACGAGCTATGCACATAAGGTGCTCGACTAAATTCCTGAAAGAAGGACCAACTTGCTGTCTTATTGAACTGTTGGTGGAATTGAAAATATTCTGATTTGCACACCAACTGTTTGTTAAAATGTCTCAGTGAACTTCAGTTACTTATTCGAAAATTTGTTCTTTCTTGCTTAATGAGTCACTTTCAGTTAGAAGGAAGCATAGGAAAAGATGTTAGTTCGTATGGTTCCAGCTCTTGTATCAGGGCCTTATAATGTAAGTAACATTCTTTATTCATGTGTTCAAGTTGATGAGTTTCAATTTCTTTTATGTGGATGCTCTTCTTTCTTACAAAATAATGTTTTCAAATCTTATATGAAAACCACGTTTCTATGCTTTAATGGGTCTGCCATATATTTTGTTTTTCTTTCGGTTATGGAATACAATTCTAGGTTGTTTGTGCTTTTTTATTTTTCATCAACACAAATTAATTTACTCTTTGAACCTTGTGGTATGCATTCTAAATCATGTTGCTGGAAATTATGTTTATATGTAAACTATTGCATGTAAATCAAATATGGTTTTTGACTTGTTTGATGATAATGTCTAACAAGTGTTTGTTGAAATGCCTGAAAGAGTATTTAAAGAATTTAACCTTGTGGTATGCATTCTATCAGAATTACTAGCTGTAAATACAATACCTTTGAATGTATCCTATATATTCTATTAGAATTTATTCTATCAAAATAAAATCGATGTATTCTGCCAGAATGTATTATATGTATTATATCATATTCTATGTATTCTACCAGAATATATTAAGTTATAGATAATTGTAAGTAACATGTTTTTAACAAGTATTAGTTTTTGTTGTATTTGTGATAGGAATGGCTGGAAGAAGGCGTTGAAGACCTTGATATTTTTTTAGAATATGTATAATTATATTAGAATGTAAGAATATGTATGAATTTGTATTAAGTTTGGATGTATAAGAATATATTAGAATTGATTCAAGAATTTTGTTTTTCTTCAATAATATTCTATTAGAATAAAATCCTGAAAGAGCATCATTCTAACAAAATAATATTCTATTAGAATAAAATTCTGAAAGAGCATCATTCTAACAAATAATATTCTAACAGAATAAAATCGGTAAAAAAACTGAATTGAATTAATTAAAAAATTCAGATTTTTTTAAAATTAGGAGAATTAATCATCCCTAAAAATCCGAAAATTTCCTTTTATAAATGTAGTTAATTGTCCAAAATACCCTTTTACTTAAAATTGTGTGATTATATGCTACATGTTACCCCATTGTAATATCATACACCCTCAAATCATGTTCATTGATTAATTTCATCCATTGGTCCAGATTTGTGCATTCTGGCACACAATACTTAGTAAAAACAAAATAACCTAAGCCTATATATATATATATATATATATATATATATATATATATATATATATATATATATATATATATATATATATATATATATATATATATATATATATATATATATATGTGTGTGTGTTTTGTATCTAATTTCAAAATTAACTAATCAAGACAACAAGGGTTTACTATTTATTTTTCCGTATCCCATTTAAACCATCTTTAACACTAGAGTAAAAATAATAATGCTAATAGTAATTTATCTCCATCTTCACCTTAATTTTCACTAATTTTTTAGACCCAAAAATATATCCCCAGTATATTCCTTTTCTTCAGATTTTTATATATTCAATAATACTTTTCAATTTAAAAGACTTTTACAGTTTGTCTAAAATCATTTTGTTTTAGTAATCTTAAAATTTTTATTAATAAATATATATATATATATATATATATATATATATATATATATATATATATATATATATATATATATATATATATATATAAAACAAAAAAACAATTTAAATTAATTTTTATATTTATATAACAAGTAATTTATTAAATAAATAATTACATTCATAAGCCATCAAAATAAATATTCAAACTCATTTGTAAGAAGTTATACATATATTTAACGAAATATGACACATACGTTTAAAAAAATTCAACAAAGACATATTAAAAAGTGTTTAAATTTAAAATATATTTGAAAATTTTTTAATATTTAAAATATAATAATAAAATTAAACAAATACTAAATAAATAAACTCAAATTTTAAATATGTTAAATAAACTAGATATAAATAAATTTAAACTTGAAAAAACAAATATGACAAGTAAAAGTTAACCTTAATTTATAGAGTTTATAAATAATGTTCTTTCAAAGTTAAAGTTTAGGAGTCTTAATCTTATATTCGATGTGAAAAAAAAAACAAAGTGGAATTTAAGAACAATTTTTTTTATATATATTTTTATTTTACATAAAATATTGAATAATTTTATAAATAAAGTGGAAATGAGAATGCTTTTTAATTGAAAAAAGAATTGTAAATCATTAGTAAGGTAAAAACACTGATGTTTTAAAAATAGGACTAGACTAATAGAGTTTAACTGTTTTCAATCGAAATGGATCAAACCTCCGGCTTAAAAACAATGGTTGTAATTAGATTAAAACAAGCGAGTTCACTCGAAAATATAGTTAAACGGGTCAAGTTGAATGTTGTAAACCAAACTTTTTATAAAATAAAATATTTATATTTATAAATAAATAAAGAATTGGGTCTTTAATGCAAGTGAGTTTAAAATTAATGAACCAAAACCTAAGAAGGTCTCCCCTCCTCCTGCTTTTAATAAGCATAACTCAACTCTCAACACTTTTGATGTGGGATGGGCCATAAATTAAATTATACTCTAGTTCTCTTCATATGTGTTTTATTAATAAGGTTTTTATGTCTATCATCTTTATAGAAAAATAAGTTTTAAAAGTTAACTTTGGACTGATACAATGAGAGCATCTATTCATTCGGGTTAGTTTGGTTCAAATATATATATATATATATATATATATATATATATATATATATATATATATATATATATATATATATATATATATATATATATATATATATATATATATATATATATATATATATATATATATATATAATTTTTATGGTAACAGATTTTATTCTAAAATATTGGAAACTGACCTTGGCAGCCATTAAGAAGATAAGGATTGCCCTGGTAACCTTTGTTGCAGCTGCAGCGATATCCACCAAGTTCTTCATCGTCCGTGCAGAAGCTATTTGCCTTGCATTCTGTAGCCTGTGAGCAATTCCGCTTGCCTCGTCCAATTACCCAATCCACCAGGATGTGGACATGTGAATCTAAATAAAGCTTTGAAGCACGAGACAAATCACGTGCACCACCAAAGCGAAAGTGGTTTTCCTCAGCAAGAAATGCAAAACCGCAAGGATTGAAGGGCCGTACATTCATATGGTTATCAAAGGAGCCAATTGTTATATTGACACCCTTGAGACCCTTTTGTATTGGTGTCTGACAACACCCAACTCCAGAGCACTTACCATTCTTGAGCACATTACTTACGTTGGTACATATGCCCATACAGCCAGTCATGTAGTCGGATCCATGCAGTCCTCTGATCCAAGCATAATTATCGCATCCAATGACAGTAAATTTGTTAATTGACGAAAACGTAAACGGGCTTGTCTCCTCAAATGATGTAATCGAATTAACACTATCAGAACTCCCAGATTCGTTGTAGCAAGAGTAAGCAACAGAATTGAAAATGCTGATCTCGGAATCCGAGATATTGTATATCTGAATGTTTCCAGACCTGATAAAAAGCTTTGGGGGATTAAAAGTGGAGTTGCAGATGAGCTCAAATGACTCGTCTAAGGCACACCCTTTACCCATTCCAAATGGGTAGGGAACTTTTAAATTCCCGCAATCTGTTGGGCAGTTTGGCTTTGCAATACCTCTAAGAGAGGCACCTACAAAATTATTCTCAGACAACAACGCCAATAGAACGTGGATGAAAAGAAGAAGCATGTTTTTTTTCTTGTATTTCTTTGATCAGATATGTTTTGTGTGCGATTTGGTTGATATGTTAAAGCATCTTATAGTCATATTTAGAGTAGACAAAGTAGCAAAAATGGTCCCTGTTGTTTGCATTCTTTTTAGGTTTTGGTTCTTATTGTTTCAAAGTTATAGTTTTTGTCCTTTTCCCACAGCTTTCATTATGGATTTGGTCCTTCCAAACTAAAATGATTATTGTACCCTTAATATATATTATTCATTATTTTTTTTAAATATTTTATTATTATTAATAATACTCTCCCTCTCCTTCTCTTGAAAACAAAAAACAGCAGTCGAACTATCTTCCATTCAACAAAACTCTGACACCATCACCACCGATAGGTCAAATCCAAACCCTCTTGATCAGTTCCTCAATTGGCCGCCATTGCAGTTGTATACCACATCGGTTGACTCCCTTACGTAAAACTCTCGAAGAGAACCACCCAAAAACTAAAAAAACAAGCCCGACCGACCATGAAGGGTTTTCCAAAGATGACGGCGACTCGAGTTTTGAGACATGGAACAACTAAGTCATAAGATTTTGCTAGATAGTGGTTGGAATACATATTTTGCATCTATTATTATATTACAAGTATAAGTAGAAATAAATGTGATAAGTATATTATATATTTATTAATTATTTAAAATATGTATCTTAATTAAATTATGGATTAAAAATCGGTACTAAAATAATTTGATACAAAGATTTGCATATTAGTTAAACACACAATTTTTCTTTAAATTTACCTATTTATCCAAATATTATCAATTTCACAATTCTTATTTATAATTTGCAAGATAAATGTTAGGGTTTATTAACCTTGTATTTATATTTATTTATATGATGACACTTCATGATTTGATATATTTTTCAAAATGATCTTTATACAAATATCCTCTCCCCTACTTTAATAAAAGAGTACTCTTAGTGTGCGTTTGAAAAAAATAGCTGATAGCGGGTAGTGGTTAGCCGGTAACGGGTAGCGTTTTGTTAAACGCTACATGAAGTAGCTTTTAGATTTGGAGCAATTCGTTTAAACTAAATACTAGAAGCTTGTAACCGCCAAACAAGACATTCTGTTCAAAGCGGAACATTTTGTTAAACGTCAGAAGCTCCCAAATGCTCCGTGTCGAACACACTCATTATGTTTATCACCTTAAATAAGGTTGTGATAGTTTGAATATTTATTTTTTGTATATAAATTTCCATATTATAGTTTTTTTTTTCCAGTTAAGTATGGCGACCGGATTTCAAGTAGATAGCCTGTCTAATATTGAATCAAAAGAGGAGAAAAAAACGAATATAAAGGTAATATCGAATTACCTTATTTAACGGATTGACAGTTATCGGATTACCTTAATTACCTTTGACCTTATTTAGTGGATTTGACAGCATGTGTATATCCGGTCAACATGGGCACAATAGGAAGTTTCAATTCAGGAATCAGTTTTTAAGAGAGAAAATAAGGTCATTTTCAGTAATTGACAATGGAAAAAGAGCAGGAAAAAAGATTGGGGAAAAACCACGTATATGCATTGTGATACAAAAAAGTCATATATGCATTATGACACAACAAAAAGTCTATTGGAACTTTGTCTATTTTTAAGAAACTACAACTTGCAAGGAATAACAAGATACTTTTGATTTTCTGTTATTTCTATTCTTATTCAGGGAATAACACAAAGTACGATGTTGTTCCATCGTGTTTGTATGTATATGTATATGATTGTGTACAAATGCCTATTATTTCTTGATTAAAACGATAATACTATACTTTCTTTTTCTTTGCGATTTTATATATCAACATATATTCAATTAATTTTTTTATTTTTTATTTAATGTTTTTGACAGTAGTGGATATAACTGTTTTTCATGCCTTAGTAGCTTTTTCCACACATTTTATTACCAAAAGGACCATTTGTGTATAAAAATTCTGCATTAAGGACCGTTTCTATAACAGTTTGTTACACGATCCTTTTTTCATTAGTTTCCTAACAGATGGACCGTTCCATATATATATATATATATATATATATATATATATATATATATATATATATTTGTTTGTTTATGTTTGATGCGGTTTATTGATATTTTTTTAGAAAAGCCCAAAGTACATTGCTATTTTTGGATTTATCCAATGTTTTCGTTACAACTACATTGAAAATCCTTGCATTGAAAATCCTATGCAATTTGTCTTTTCTTTAAAAGTAATATTAATTTATCCTTTTTTTCATGTTGTCCATGCCACACAAGCCTCTTTAAACAGTTTGTCACAAAAAGGAACATTTCTGTAAAAAAAAAACTGCCATAGGGACCATTTCTGTAACAGTTTCATACACAATTCTTTTTTCCTTACTTTCCACACAGTGACATTTATATAATTGCAATGTATAATAGTATATGTTCTTGATTAATCACAGCTATTATAACTGATTTTTGATTATCATATTTAATATACAAACAAAGTTCATTGCTATATCTGGATGCTCTCTCCCTCTCTCTCTCTGTCTATATATATATATATATATATATATATATATATATATATATATATATATATATGTTGTGTTTAATTGTATTTGTTTACCATTTAATTTCAGAATACTGTCTACTACCAAAATTACCTACTTCAAAGACATTGGAGTACCATCAGATGATACAACCTTTAAGGTTTGAGTGTAATTGAGGCTATGGAAATTTATACGGAAAAAAGAGAAAGAAGTATTATCTATCGAAGTAGTTGTTATGGATAAACAAGTTATATGCAACATTTATTATGCTCTAATGCAGAATACAAACTAAACAATGTATTCTTTTGGCCACATAAGCTGAACGAATTAGTAGAATGTTAAGAATCAAGATGAGATCTTGAATGGAACCCAATAAACTTTGGGATTAGTTGTGACGGATGCTTTTAAAGATTATACTAGCCTAATAGAGCCAATATTATTATCTAGAAGAAGGTAGTTTGTTCTAGAATGCTTTAGAAGATTCTAGAACATTATGGAAGACTCCAAAATATACCAGAAGAGTGTAGAATACTCTAGAACGACATGGAAGACATTGGAACGTTATGGATTGAAAGACCCAAACTTTCGTATTTCTGAATGACCCAAACTTTCATACTTGACAATATAGTTACTCCAAAACATGCTACTTGCATATTCATAAAAACAACATTTTATATTGATAAAGAGGTTACAAACTACTGGATACAAATCAACTATTACAAAGTGTTATATATTACATAACTACTCAGGATATTGTATTTTATACAAACATAAACTGAAGTACAAAAGTACTATTACAAACTATTCTAAATCTTTCAACAGTATACGATCATACTGGTTACTTATCTCCTGCAATTGTTAAACATTAATAGGGTAAGCGGTGACGCTTATTGAGTTCAATAATAGATACAATATAACGTTATGCCATATATATACTTCAATATGGCAGAAGCAAAGAGAAACAAGGAACAACAAAGGCATATGTAAATCATGTGTTAAGCTTTCCATTTCAATCATTGATTTGATTCAAAGATATAAAATCAATGAGACATAACAATTTCCATCCTTGATATACATCAATAAAGCTTCGGCCCAAATGACACAGAAGACATAAGATTTCTAATTAACATCTTGGTAGATTTCAGGCCTACGGCTATGTCTAACTATTTGCCAATGCCATAGAATAGAAGTCATTATCTTACAGAGACATGCTCTACATGGCCAGAGGCTACATACCAGTACCAATGTGAATCTAAGTCCTTTCACTAATCACATGGTCAAAGGTATTACTTTTTCTATTAAAATAGCAAATAAAATAACACGGGAAAATAACCCAGAATAATAACACTGAAAAGCACATAGCACATATAACACATGACATACAATTGTTCCTATATATTGAACTCACCTTGAATTAACCAGGGGTCAAAATAGTAATTTGGGTAGCACTTCGGCTTTAAATATGACTTTCTATGTTGAAAACTGGGAACTTTATCGAAAACCGGGCTCTGCGAAGGTAGAGCTTCAAAACCGAAAAGATAAATTTTTCGGGCTTCACGGGCACTTTGGGGCGTGTTTCGGGTGTTAGAAATGACATTGGGGCTTCGGGGGATGTCAAAATAGTGAAAATATGCAATTAGGGGTGAAAAAGGGCAATTTCTCAAAATTACCTGAGAAATCTCGCAGGTCTCCTATTTATAGGGGTGAGGTCCAAAAGTCGGCCTAGAAGAGGCGGTGCCAGCGAGGGGCTCGGATGCAACATGCATAGCACATGCGAAGGCAGCAGGTGGCAAGTGCGAGCTTCGGACACGCAAGGAGGCAGGTGGCGCAGCAGCGAGGCCCGGACACAACACACGTCACACCTCGAACGTGACACGTCTCGGTGACGTAGCTGCTTCGTGCGAGGTGACGTGGTCGGTACTATTCATGCAAAAATTCTCAAAAAATGTGCCCCAAACTTCTAAAATCCATAACTTTCGCATACGGGCTCCGTTTTTTATGCTATTTATATGCACATGTAGGCGAGAATACATTCTACAACTTTCTTTTGGACTACATCAGCTAATTTTGACTTTATTTTTAATATTATTATTTTTAACAGATCGGGACAGGAAAATCCGTTAAAAATTCATAACTTCCTCATCCGACATCCGTTTTCATCAGACTTTTTACCGTTGTACTACTATTGAAGAGATCTTGAATTCTCGTTTAGGTTGTGTCGGCTAAAAATCACTCGATCTAAAAATCGAGTTTTTAGTTGTCTAATGCTAGGCTGAAACTTAGAAAAATCATAACTTGCTCATACGAAGTCAGATTTTTGCGTTATGTTTTTCGAACTTCTCGGTTTAACGAATACTACGACTTTCATTTAGATCACTAAGGCTAAAAAGTAGGTTATCAAAAACTCACTTTTTACGTCATTCGGTGTTGTGCTGGTTTTGTCGCGGATCTTCGATTGG